CATCACTGGCCATCAGAAGCAGTAAAAGCTGTTCATATTAAAGCACAAATTCATACCAATCGTCGTTCCGAGTCATTTACGCCACTATATGCCTGTCATAACTTTACTCTCTAGTTACGTAACCTTCTTTCTCCAGGAAAATATCACATACCTACCTTCATTTTTCTGTTAACTTTATAAGGGCTCTAGACTTTTATGTTGGCAGCGTAAAAGTTTGGCAATATTGAAATTTTACTTGTATTTACTTTCTGTGTTGCGTAAAACTTGCGTTACCTGCCATACCTTTTCCTTGGTTGTGACGCAAGAAGTTTACTCATACTTAAAATAATTCGTGTTAGAAATGTAAAAATTATGGAAGAATGAAAGCAGAACACCACAGCAGGGAGCATTACTATCAAGCAGCACTACAGTAGCAGAACACCACAGCAGGGAGCATTACTATCAAGCAGCACTACAGTAGCAGGACACCACAGCAGGGAGCATACTATCAAGCAACACTACAGTAACAGAACACCACAGCAGGGGCATTACTATCAAGCAGCACTACAGTAGCAGGACACCACAGCAGGGCATTACTATCAAGCAGCACTTCAGTAGCAGGACACCACAGCAGGGAACCATTACTATCAAGAAACACGACAGTAACAGAACACCACAGCAGGGACATTACTGTATTATCAAGCAGCACTACAGTAGCAGGACACCACAGCAGGAGCATTATCAAGCAGCACTACGGTAACAGACCACCACAGCAGGGAGCATTACTATCAAGCAGCACTACAGTAACAGAACACCACAGCAGGGAGCATTACTATCAAGCAGCACTACAGTAGCAGGACACCACAGCAGGGAGCATTACTATCAAGCAGCACTTCAGTAGCAGGACACCAGACAGGGCATTACTATCAAAGAAACACTACAGTAACAGGACACCACAGCAGGGAGCATTACTATCAAGCAGCACTACAGTAACAGGACACCGGCAGGGGCATTACTATCAAGCAGCACTACAGTAGCAGAACACCACAGCAGGGCATACTCAAGAGCACTACAGTAACAGAACACCACAGCAGGGAGCATTATATCAAGCAGCACTACAGTAGCAGGACACCACAGCAGGAACGTACTATCAGCAGCACCAGTAGCAGGACACCACGCAGGAACATTACTATCAAGCAGCACTACAGTAACAGAACACCACAGCAGGGCATTACTTTCAAGCAGCACTACAGTAGCAGGACACCACAGCAGGGAGCATTACTATCAAGCAGCACTACAGTAACAGAACACCACAGCAGGGAGCATTACTATCAAAGCAGCACTACAGTAGCAGAACACCACAGCAGGGAGCATTACTATCAAGCAACACTACAGTAACAGAACACCACAGCAGGGAGCATTACTATCAAGCAGCACTACAGTAGCAGGACACCACAGCAGGGAGCATTACTATCAAGCAGCACTTCAGTAGCAGGACACCACAGCAGGGAGCATTACTATCAAGAAACACGACAGTAACAGAACACCACAGCAGGGAGCATTACTGTATTATCAAGCAGCACTACAGTAGCAGGACACCACAGCAGGGAGCATTACTATCAAGCAGCACTACAGCAACAGAACACACACAGCAGGGAGTATTTCATCAAGCAGCACTACAGTAACAGAACACCACAGCAGGAGCATTAATATCAAGCAGTACCACAGTAACAGACCACCACAGCAGGGAGCATTACTATCAAGCATCACTACAGTAACAGACCACCAGAAGCAGGGAGCATTACTATCAAGCATCACTACAGTAACAGACCACCACAGCAGGGAGCATTACTATCAAGCAGCACTACACTAACAGACCACCACAGCAGGGAGCATTACTATCAAGCAGCACTACACTAACAGACCACCACAGCAGGGAGCATTACTATCAAGCAGCACTACACTAACAGACCACCACAGCAGGGAGCGTTACCATCAAGCATCACTACAGTAACAGGACTCAGCCTTAACCTCAATACAGTAACTCAAATCACCTGACGAGTGGGAGTAAGATATTTGACGTCACAGGCCTGAATGTGAAGGTGAGGAGGCAGCCATTACTGTTTGGTGTAACGACCTCAAACTTTCCCAGATTATTGATGTTAGTGTGTTTAGTTATAACAAGGTGTCGGATAGACGATACTTAATCACAGTCGGGTGTCCCTGTTTACAACCGCTGATGTGTGTGAGGCTGTTACATTAATTTATGAAAGTTGAAGTAAACTAAAGTTGTTTCAAATGTCGTTTCTACCGTCGCCTGATTGATTCTGAAACATTAAAATCAACAATTAATGGAAAGTTTCAAATCGAAATTGAAACTACTCAGGTCTAGTCTCCTCCCACCTCACATTCGCCGAACCATCAAGACTACAGCGTGTGTTGGGGGAAATAATCGCAAGTGAAAACGAAACATTAGAATACAAGGGAAACTAAATCATTAAATATCTTCCTCTTGGACGCACAGATCACCGAGCTGGTATCATATATCTTTCTTAAACCAGATAATATATCATTACACATACTGGAGTCAGCCGGACCCACCCTAACCTAAAACTATCCATTAGCGTTAAGACATTACTAACCCGTCTTAATACCAAACCAGGAGAGGGAGTAGACACAAAGCCGCTTATAGTGTACTACAGCAGAGAAGATGAGGTGTACTGTATGTAGCCTGGTACTGTACATCCCAGCACACGAGGGTGGAGACAGCGTGAGGAACCCTGAGTAGTGAAGAAGAGGAGTTAGGGTACATAGGGCCCTGTATCCCATCACACACGAGAGTGAAGATAGCGTGAAGAACTGTTAACAGTGAAGAAGAGGTTAGGGTGCATAGGGCCCTGTATCCAACACACGGTGAAGATGGCAGGAACCCACAGAGTAGTGAAGAAGAGGAATTGGGGTACATAGGATACCTGTATCCCAACACACGAGGGTGGAGACAGCGTGGGAACCCTGGTAGTGAAGAAGAGGGATTAGGGTACATGAGACCCTGTATCCAGCACACGAGGGTGGCGAGAATAGCGTGAGGAACCCTGAGTAGTGAAGAAGAGGAGTTAGGGTACATAGGGCCCTGTATCCCATCACACACGAGAGTGAAGATAGCGTGAAGAACTCGGACAGAAGACTCCACCCTCGACCTATGGTTAATTAGTGTCAACACGAGGGTCACACGGCAGTACTCACAGCCACCACCAGGTCATATTGATTCTCCCTCACTCACCTGCTGCTACAACACCACTTCATAACTCGGCTGGACTTGTTTACAAAAACATCCATCATCTCACTACTGCTTGTGGGTCGTAGCGTTCACCCCCTACTACAAGAGCGTCCTCAGGTCGCTACAAGACAGTCTACTTTCCCCTCCTGACTTCTCCATAATTGTCTCTATCTCTTTCCCCTACGCTACCTTTCTTCACCCTGTAGTGAGGAAAGGTAGACTATGAACTATGAACCATAAGGTAGACTATGAACCATAAGGTAGACTATGAACTATGAACCATAAGGTAGGCTATGAACCATAAGGTAGACTATGAACTATGAACCATAAGGTAGACTATGGACTATGAACCATAAGGTAGACTATGGACTATGAACCATAAGGTAGACTATGGACTATGAACCATAAGGTAGACTATGAACCATAAGGTAGACTATGAACCATAAGGTAGACTATGAACTATGAACCATAAGGTAGACTATGAACCATAAGGTAGACTATGAACTATGAACCATAAGGTAGGCTATGAACCATAAGGTAGACTATGAACTATGAACCATAAGGTAGACTATGGACTATGAACCATAAGGTAGACTATGGACTATGAACCATAAGGTAGACTATGGACTATGAACCATAAGGTAGACTATGAACCATAAGGTAGACTATGAACCATAAGGTAGACTATGAACTATGAACCATAAGGTAGACTATGAACCATAAGGTAGACTATGAACTATGAACCATAAGGTAGACTATGGACTATGAACCATAAGGTAGACTATGAACTGTGAACCATCTGTGTGATGTCTGGCCGAGTCATTACCAAAACTCTGACCCAAATTTCCACGTTAGAACAGCGGATTTGGTTAGGTTAGGTTAGTTTATGTTAAGGCGAGGTTAGGTAGGGATAGTTTAAGAGCGGATTGGTTTACGTTAGGTAAAGTAAGGTTGGGTTAAGTTAGGTTAGGTTAGGAGGTTAGGTTAGGTTAGGTTAGGTTAAGTAAGGTTGGGTTAAACTGGGATAGGTTGGGGGCGGTTTAGGTTAACTTTGTTGGGTTATGTGAGATTAGGGTTAAGTTTGGTTAAATTAAGTTAGGTTAGGTTAGGTTGAGTTAGGTGAAGTTAGGTCAGTTTGGGTTATATTTCAAGTCCATGTTCTGGTTCGTGGGATGTAGTGAAAGAAGAGAGAGAGAGAGAGAGAGATAATAATTATCACCACGTATGTAAACATCTTGAATGCTGAATGGCCAGTGAGTTCTGTTTTAATGAGACCTTGTGTGTCTAGGAAACTGTAACTGGAGTGTTACCAAAAGAAAATGAAATAAGTCTCTCTCTCTCTCTCTTCTCTCTCTCTCTCTCTCATACACAACGATAATAGTAGAAGTATCTCCCCAAAGACACACACACACACACACACACACACACACACACACACACACACACACACACTGGAGGGAATCAATGATGAACTATAGATAAGACGAGAGATAGATTCACCTTGACGCAATATTCGAGTCTACAGATCATATGTACCACGAATAGAACTTATATACATTTCTGTGTATATATATATAAACATATTGATCAATTTTGTATTTAAAGGAAAATCTCACCAATTGTACGTAAATAACACAATCTAATGTCTAATTGTTAAAATATACGTGTGTGTGTGTGTGTGTTAGTAGAGAGAGAGAGAGAGAGAGAGTAGTACGTTACAAGTGTCTTCTTGGTGTACTTTAAGATGGACATAAGAACAGACGAGACGGACGTAAGAACAGACGAGACGGACGTAAGAACAGACGAGACGGACGTAAGAACAGACGATGGACGTAAGAACAGACGAGACGGACGTAAGAACAGAGACGGACGTAAGAACAGACGAGACGACGTAAGAACAGACGTGATGGACGTAAGAATAGACGACGGACGTAAGAACAGACGAGACGGACGTAAGAATAGACGAGACGGACGTAAGAACAGACGTGGATGGACGTGTTATAAGAACAGACGAGACGGACGTAAGAATAGACGAGACGGACGTAAGAATAGACGAGACGGACGTAAGAATAGACGAGACGGACGTAAGAACAGACGAGACGGACGTAAGAACAGACGAGACGGACGTAAGAATAGACGAGACGGACGTAAGAACAGACGAGACTGACGTAAGAACAGACGAGACTGACGTAAGAACAGACGAGACGGACGTAACAATAGACGAGACGGACGTAAGAATAGACGAGACGGACGTAACAATAGACGAGACGGACGTAAGAATAGACGAGACGGACGTAAGAATAGAAGGATCAAGTTAAGAAGATAGATTATGAGTTGACTGGTTGATGGATGACGTATGCTAAGTATTGACAACAATAACTCCACGCGTTTAATATAGGCTGTCACTTGTGTTATTGTTTCGCGTCACGGTGGAGGAGGTGAGTCGGGGAGAATATGGCGTAGTATGAGTCTAGGTGTATGTCCGATTCTCTGTCTTTATATTTATCCGGCAGTGAGGTGTAAGAGGAGTAGGAATTTGAGGAATTAATATATACTTAGAGTTTTACAAGAGTACTCCGCTGCCTCCCACCCTCCCACACACTACCTCCCCCCCCTCCCATCTCCCTTCCTTCTCCCCTTCACCCTGCCTCCTCCCTCCTCCTACCCCTCTCACCCTGCCCCCTTCCACCCCTCACCCTATACTTCCAGCGCCCCTTTTGTTGTTTACACAGGAGGATAAACTCATCACAAGAGACACTTAGATTCATCCTGGCACGAGATAAGACTCATCATAAATGGGTTTGATTCATCATTTGTTTCAAGAGACACATTGTAGATCTTCTCTTGTGCGACACCGAATAGTTCTATCGATATTTGATGATTGTAAAGTAAAGTGTAAAGTGATCGTATATCCTTGAATGGTGGACACGAATATCGAGGTGTTCCCTTTACTCGGCTCTAAGTGGCAGCGGTTGAGGTGCTCCTGGTGGGTGGGGGGGATGGGAAGGAGTGGGAAGAAGGAGGAAGGGGAACTGGTAACTCTTCTCTATATTACGTCGTTCACCTGCCAATCTAACGCCAATAATCGAACCTGTGAACGGTGGGAGATACAGAACCATATGAACCAGTTAATCGAATATGTTACAATACGTCCCTCAAGCTGTTGTGCCGAGGCAGGAGCTCATGGAATACACACACACACACAATATTTCACAGCTTTAGTACTACCGACTGTATATGTTCTGGGTACCAAGTTCTATCTACAGGAGCGAACACAAACACCTGTAGAGTTTTCGTAGGTTCTATTTACTGGACAAACAGAGATACACAAGGGAGGTGGCGCTCCTTACTCTGTCTGGGGGTCAACTAGCCTTTTAGGTGACATGTGGCAAGTGATACATTAGCAGCTTCCATATGTCGCCAGGCACATTAATTAAGCGTGTGGGACATTGCCACACGCTGCTAGCTAGGCTGAATAAATAATGTATATAAATGGAGCACATACATAATATACATACAGCATACATAATATACATACACCGACAACCAACCGTCCATTTTCACGCGGCTGCAAGACCTCGCGGCGTCAAACTTGCTGAGAAACTTTACGAGGTGTAATTTTCTTATCGCTAACGGATTTACAGAGAGTTGCCGTAGGAATGTTTGAGAGAATCAGTCACATACGATTTTCTGTCTCTCTCTCTGTCTAGTCGTTCAAGTGTTGCTGGTGTTCCGGGAATGTGGTTTATTGAGTCATCAGTCAGGTGGCGTTCACAGTCAACACACAAGGCTCACGATTTTTCAGAGGTTGAATATAAAATGGATGCCTAGTAAGAGTTGGCCTCAGTCTAACCTAACCTAACTTCACCTTACTTCACCTCACCTCACCTCACCTCACCTTACCTCACCTCGCCTTCCCTGATGATTAAATCCCCTGAGGCTACCTGAAGTGGTTAGGTTAGGTTAGGTTAGGTTATTTAATTATCAGGTGAAATAAACTGGGGTGCCTAATATCCAGGTGATCCTCATTTTCTTATACACACGGAGCAACTTTCATCACCCGGAGCAACTTACATCACCCGGAGCAACTTTCATCCCCCCGGAGCAACTTACATCACCCGGAGCAACTTACATCACCCGGAGCAACTTATATCACCAAGCGAATTCCCTAACACACGAGTAACTTTCATCACACGGAGCAATCTTTGGCATCTCCACCTTTATAACTTTACATCACCGAGCAACTTTCATCACACGGAGTAACTTTATATCACCTGAGCAACTTTACATCCTCTGAGCAACTTACATCACCTGAGTAACTTTATCACCTGGAGCAACTTACACTTCACCTGGAGCAACTTAGGACAAGAAAGACTCAAACGTTGAAACCTTCATCTTCCTATTACCCAGAGCGTCATCACTCCCTAATATTCTCTCTGTCTTCATCTGTCTTCTCCAGTTTTTATCTGTTTGAGTTTCGTCCTAATTTCTCCCCTCCTGACCTAGTCTGATGTGAGCTGCCAGTCATTGTTTAATGATGTGTGTGTGTGTGTGTGTGTGTGTGTGTGTGTGTGTGCGTGGTGTGTGATTTACAAGCATTTGCATGTCTGCCCGTCTCTCTCTCATTTTAATCTCATTTACTTCTTTTTGTATCTCTCCATCTCTCATTTTTTCTCACTCTCCCCTTCGTCTGTCCGTATTTCTGAGGACACGTACTTTCATCATCATCATCATTATTATCATTATTATTACCATCATCATAATCATCATCATCATCATCATCATTATCATCATCATCATCATCATCATCATCATCATCCTCATCATCATCATCATCATCATCATCATCATCATCAAAGGGTTAAGTCATTATACTCAAGGGGTTAAAAGAATTATAGGCCTAAACCTCTCATTTAACCTAACCTAACCTAACCTAACCTAACCCAAATACTGATCTAAGTAGTCATTTCCCACCTTTACTATCTCCACACCAGAGTTCTCCCTCATCATCCTAGGAGATCATAGGAGACCCACCCACAGAAAACTTACTCTAAAACTTGAGGTTATTAGGCTATTATACTAGTAAACCCTCGACCTTGACCTCCACCTCCCACTCGACTCCTCACAACATAAAAACTCGAGTGGGAGGGAGGGAGGGAGGAGGGGTTCGGGGGGGGGGGTATATCCCTTCATTAGTGTGTGGTAATCCTGAAGGAGTGGCAGACGCCCCTCTCTTCATCATTGTTTACACTCCTTTTTATGGTTACCTCAGCTCAAGGGGTACATGAGTCGCTGGTCAAAGCTTGAGGGTGTTAAGGTGGTAAGACAGGTTATCCCACGCCCCTTATCGCCATGCTAGACTGTAACATTGTAGAAAATCCTTAGAAGTATTGATTTTTTTTTTGTGTCAACTATGTATATGTGTGTGTAATATCTCTCTCACTTCTCTACATTTCTCTTGTGTCTCTCTCATCATCTTTCTCTCACACATATAAGTGGGAGAGAAGTTACAGAGAGATTATTGTAGTTAAGCCTGAAGTTCATAAATATCTCAAGAGTGGCGGGAGAAGAGACGAATATTCCATCACGTCTGAATATTAAGCAGAATTAAGCCTTTCCTGTACCTCTCTCGGCAGATACGCTTGTCTTTCTCGCTTATCAAACTGGAATATATTTTATTTTATTCGTTTTTATATATTTCTATTAGTTCTACATTAACTTACTACCTAGAGATAAAAAAATTAGACCCTTTCACTCATCACCGGAATTGAGATCAAAAGGAAGAGAGTTTGAACATCGAGTTAATCTAAACCAACTGAACAAAAATTTTCCTCATCGGGGAGAGTGATGTCAAACGTTCCCTGGGCGACGTTGGAGAAGGAACATTATCACAATGCACTCTCTGGCGGCTTTAGAACAACATTGGTGAGGTCAGGTTCGCTTGGAAGGTTCTGTCACGCTGAGGCAAGAAGCTGGGGGATGAGATTTAAGAGAGAGAGAGAGATAGAGAGAGATATAGAACGAACGAGCGAGCAAGTGAGAGAGCGAGAGACTTTCATAATATATCATTCCCTACTAGCGGGTGACTCGTGTGTACAGAACCGTAAAGGTAAACACCACATAACTCATGCATCAGATCCCCATAAAAACACACGGTAATATTTTCTCATCACTGACGACACAAGACAAACTAATGAACCAGTTAAGTTCCCCATAAAACCATCGTCCAAAAATATGGCATCGAAATAACACTGAGACTCTACCATAACCAGATTACGTTCAATTTGGCTTACAGAAATTACAGGTTAAATAGGAATTAATTAATATTTTTTGGGGGTAATTCCTCCTTCACACACATTCAAGATGTCATCCAAATATCCAAAATGTCATCCAAATATCCAGTGTCATCCAAATATCCAAAATGTCATCCAAATATCCAAAATATCATCTAAATATCCAAAATATCATCCAAATATCCAGTGTCATCCAAATATCCAAAATATCATCCAAATTATCCCGAGATTCTACTTGACGTGTTGAGTTATCCAGAGTTAATAAGGATAATGACTTTACAACCTCTGGATATTTAGTCTCGAGGCATCGGACAGGAGGAAGAAATTATACGTCCTATGTTGAATGAGAACCTACCTACCCTACCCTAACCTAACCTAACCTAACCTAACCCCCTCCCATTTACCATTAAGGGTGTTAAATCATAAGCTAGGGTGTTGGTGGGTGGGGTCCTACTTCTGAGGTCTCCAGGATACTCATATAAATACTCAGTTGGACCTGTGTAATCTCTTCCCCCTAATTTAGTTATGCTGGGGCCCTCGGTCGCGATCATTCGGTGTCTAATTCACTTCAGCCTCGACAAATACGGCGGGAATTTGGGTCGGCTACTGCAGTAATAAATGTGTATTGTGGTTGTTGTTGTTGGTGGTGGTGGTTGTTTTTGTTTGTAGTTGTTGTTGTTGTTGCTGTTGTTGTTGTTGGTGGTGGTGGTGGTGTGTTGTTGTTGTTGTTGTTGTTGTTGTTGTTGCTGTTGTTGTTGTTGTTGTTGTTGTTGGTGGTGGTGGTGGTTGTTGTTGTTGTTGTTGTTTGTTGTTGTTGGTGGTGTGGTGGTTTTTGTTTGTTGTTGTTGTTTGGTGGTTTGTTGTTGTTGGTGGT